GGAGCGCTCCGAGCCGCCGCTGCCGCCGCCGGGGCCGGGCGGCGCCAAGGGCGGCCGCGGCGCCAAGGGCTGGCACTACAGGTGGGCGCCGGCCGCGGGAGCTGCGCGGGAGCCCCCTCTCCGTTACCCCTTTCCCTGCTTCCCCCTCCGGGAACGGCGGGAAGTCGCCCGATCCAGGCGTTTCCCCCCGTTTCGGCGCTGTCCAAGGGCTCTGCTTGGCGCCCGGCCTCASCCGGGGCGGGTTTTCCCTCAGAACTTCATTCCCATCCCTAGGGAAGGGATCCATGCTTTTCTATGGCGTCCGTTGGCAACCTGGCCTCGCGAGGCCCCGTTGGAGCGGCCGCTGCTCCCTCCTGGTTCCCGGCACGTGCGGGCTGCCTCGTGGTTTTAATAAGGAATAAATAGCTCGGAGACCCCTGGGAGTCTGTGCGTATCCGACTTACCTTGGTGGTTGCTTGTACTGCAAAGAAAATGGGGTTTTAGAGCCGGTATTTCGAGGTGCTAAACAAAGGCAGTTTCATGTCAAACTCATTAGTRACTGGTTATYGTTGCTATTGCTTCCAGTCAGTCACCTTTAAACCCTTTAAACGTTTTTTTTTCCTTGCGTTCTGGACTGTAGGTTTCCCTGTGCTGCTGGGTGATGTTTCTGTTTTGCTTTGCCGTGCTCGAGGTAAAGGGCATGGATCAGCCCTGCCAGGGCAGCTCTTTGTTTAGATCCGCCCATCGGGCGCCTCGTGTCTCCGGTCGGAGCTGCTCCTTGTYGGGCAGGAGCTGTGTTGGCCTCCCATGCGCTGGCCAAGACTTGAGCCTAGGTCAAGCTCACAGCTTGAGGGGCCTGTCACTAATTCAGAGCCCGGCAGCAAGTGGGAATTGCCTGTGTGTTTTCTAGCAATGATCCATCTTCATTTTAACCATCCAGGGTGAACTTACTCTGTTTGCCTTTTCCCCAGACACCTGGGAGAAGTTTAATGTTCCAGTTATGTTGCAGTGGGTGCTCGAGGAGCCCCCCTGTTGTTCCCTGCTGGTTTGGGGGTGAATTCTTTGCTCCTGTGTTTGGCTCTGTATGTAATTACTCACCAGACATCACCTTTCCAGCAGCCCCCTCGCTACTGCTGCACTTGGTGCTCTCCTGGACTGTGTTCCAAAACTTAAACCTTTTGGGTTACATTGGTTACTTAGCTGCTTGTAGGCTCTGTCTGATGAGGTTGGTCCCCTTGCAGAGCCCCTCTGAAACCTGCCCCTTTTTGCACCCTGAGGTGAGATGCTTTTTGACCTTATAGAAGTTAAGAGTGCTTGCGAAACTGCCACTCCAGACATCTGGCAGGGAATTCTCTGCTTGCTTGCGTGGATATGGATCAGGGTCAGAGCGGGGCTGAGAGCAAGCGGTGCCGAGCTGCCTTTTCCTGAGCAGTGTCAGGAGCAGCGTGGCTGCTAACTTGGAATGAAGTGGGAGAAAAGAGGCTCTGAGAGGCTGTGCTGCTCGCTAAACTCTCTTTCCTCTTCCACATTTTCCATTCAGAAAAACAGTTCACTTGAGGTTTCTGAATGACTGGAGGTGTTAAAAGGTTACTTGGTAAAGCAATTTAGGTTAAAAACTTAGGAAATAAATATGGTGTTGCCTATAAATAAGGAAATCTTTGCATTCAGCAATTCCACCTTTAGCTCCAAGCRTCCTCATTCCCTCTCCCTTTGCTTTAGGGTATGTGACCGGAGTAGTTCAGTGGCAGTGGGAAAGCAGGGACAGGTACTTTGCTCAGCTGGCRTGAGCACTGCAGGGTTGGAGAGCAGGATCAGTATCTGTGAGCTAAATAGCGGTCAAAATATGTGCCAGAGAAATACAACATCTCAGTCTGGCTTGAAGGACTGTTTAAAATTAAATTTAAAATAACTGATTCTCATTTATCTGCAGAATTAAGAGTTCAAAGCACTCGGGCTGCTGGAGAAAGGAGGTTGCCTCTCCAGGCTGTGGATGTGCTAATGCGCCGTCCCCTTGTGCTCTCCACAGTGGCTCTGTTCTCAAATAACTCCATCAATTCACGTTATTAAAAGGATTCCCAGCATTGCTTTGTTTGATGTCTATTCTGTATGATGTCTTCATGTCTATTTTAAATCAATTTCCTGGTAATAGCTAATCTTAGGGTTTTAAATTGCATTATAAAAACAACTTGCTCTTTCAGGCTTGGTGCGTTTTTACACGTAATCGCCTGTGTTTCTTGTTCCTGTTTTGTGTTTGTGATGGATTCTGCGCTGCGTGTTTGCCAGGTGCTGCAGATTGGATGTGTTTTGCTGTCTCTAAGGAAGCGAGTTGCCCTCACTTAGCTGTTCCTGTGAGTTTCTGTTACTCGGTGCCATGGGATTGCTCACGGTTGGGAATTGCTGCAGAAGAACATTTGGATGAAAGTTCCTAAGATAAGGAGTAAATGTCTAGACCAACGGTATATTTTTGTGTGTTAATTTTTGTGTGTGTGTTTAGTGGTAGATAAGGAGGTTCCTCATGCTGGGCAGATTGTGTTTGTGGTTGAACTATCAACACAGCAATTTGCTTGCAGGCTTCTGTCTTATGTTCCTTTGGGCTCGACTAGAAGAAGCTGAGAATAAGCGAATATAAAGGCAGACAAAACCATGTAACTAGTAGCAGAGGATGATTTCAGTTAAAAAAAGTAACAATGCACATTGCAGTTTGTCCATTGTATCGCATGCGAAAGACAAGGTTTGCAAACAAGTTAGATGGTTGCAAATCATCTTTTAAGGCCCTTGTTTTTGGAGTTGACGTTGACACTGTGTAACCAAGCTTTAAAAGACACACACACACACACACACACACACACACACACACACACACACACACACACACAAAAAAAAAAAAAAAAAAAAAAAGGCAAATAAGCAAGTACTGGCCTTAACTTGGAGTGCTCTGTGTTGGAGCAGATCCGCATGCACTCATAACGGAAGAACTTGTGGCTGAAACACATGAATATGGTTTAATTCTTCCTTTGGAAGTGAACACGATCCCTCCTCCGTAAATTGGTACCATGTGAAGTTTGTCTTAAAGGGAATGTTTATTGCAATTAAGGTCTCGATCCCAGTTAACGCGGAGTGACTGGAAGTCCTTTGCACTTCAGACAAGTGCAGGCGAAGTGTGTGAGACAAACTGTGGAAGATATTTAATGATTTTTATTTATGCTATCTTGAAAAACGGATCTGGCTGGTGGTAGTAAAGGGAAGTGTCTTGGGACTGAAGCAGCCCTCTTGAGTGCATGTTGATAAATGCCTTTTTATTGAAGTTGGAATTTATTGCATTTTTTTTACTGCAAGGAAATAGATTGAATTTGTCCAGCTTATCTCAGGCTTTGCTGCAGGAAAACGTATGGGATTTTTGTCTCTTTTCTGTGCATTTCTCTTCACATTCCAAGCATGTTTGATCCTGGAGAATACGTTTAATCCTACTGGCCTTTAAAGCTGCAGACTCGCTTGGTAAACACCCATAAATTAGGCAAAGGAAACACGGTGTTTAACTGTGCTTGATATTGGGAACCTCTCCTTTACTGATCCTTCATTCTTGCCCCCAAACAGCCTTCTCTCATCAGAGCATTAATCTAAGCACATAAATTTTGCTTAGCTTGCCAYAGTGTGTTAGCTGAGCTAATTAACTTTGCATTCCCCAGAACAGGCTGCAGTTTCCATTAAAGTCTCTAGCACTGGTAAGCAGGAAAAGGAACCTCCCAAATCTTGTCATAGATGGTAGAGTGATCCTAGGGTGGTTCTTTATAATTCTCGTTTTGTTGGTACTTCCTCCTTTTTTCTTTTTCCCCTGTGTCTGTATCTATCTGCTTTAACCCCTGCCAGTGTCTTTGCTGGGATGTCTGTGTGAATCCCTTGGGTTTGGCATGGATAAGAGGGGCCGTGTGAGCCCCGCACAGCGGCTGCCTGGGCCACGGCTGCCCTCCCTCCCGCCCCCTTCTCCCCTCCTCGGCTGTTGCATCAGCTCTGACGTCATCGTGACGCTGCGCTCGGATTGGCCGGCGGCTCCCGCGCTCGGATGATGTCAGAGGATCCATCCTCTTCCTCACTTTGCAGCTGGGGGCTCTGGAGAGGCCTCCTTGCCCCTGCACGGCCATCAGAGGCCCTGGCCACTCGTCCTCCCGCCTGTCAGGGGTGATGGGTTTCCCACAGTGGTTGCCATGAAACTCAGTTTAGTTTGATTTTCTGGGTGGTTTTTCCTTTTTTTTTTTTTTTTTTTTCTCTTGTGGCTTTTTTCCCTCATTAAAATTATATTAGGGTACCACCATGTCTCCATGTGATCTATTGCAGAGAAATGGCCACAAAATGTAGCTTAGCCTCAGTGGAGTCTTTTCTTAAGGAGTATATTGCACTCCCAGCTCCAGAATTCAGAAGTGCTGTGCTTAGAGTTCACTGATTGCCCTGGCTTCCATATCTGAAGCCATCAGCCGGTTACCTTGACCTCCCCATCCCATCTGCCTCCCCCAAGTGGCAGGTTCCTGCCCCTCAAGCGTGACACGGGCCATGGGCCCCAGCTGTCCCCAAGGGCAGGGGACCCCCTCGCCTTGGCATGTCCCACAAGCTGCAGGAGCAGCCTGGAGCCACGGGAAGCCTGCAGGGGCTACACTTAAGAGAAGGAAGAAAAGAGGCTGTGGAAGTCACTGGAGCAGGGTGACAAATGGGGGTGTTGGTTCTGACACAGCACATATCTGTCTGCGTCAGCTCTGAATGGATGTCCCAACGTTAACCTAAACGAAGGCGGCAGAGACTTTCAAGTGCCTCGTAAATATAAAATAATTTGTTTTTCCTCCATAGAGTTAATTTGCAGAGTCTCTCGTGGACATTTCAAATCTCTGTGTTTCTGTAAACGCAAGGCATGTTTGTTTTTCAGCCCTCACCTGCCATAGTGTAGCCGGGTAGTGCTAATTGAAACTGCCTACAGTATTAACTGCTCTGCCACACACGTTCCTTGCCCAGAGAGCAGATGCACACTAAGCTGCACGTTGCTGACCTGCTCGCGTTGCTCAATGCGCCAGCAGAAGGTGCCCGGCTGCTGCAGCGTTCCCCTAGCCTGGCTCTTG